ATTGCTCATAGTACACTGGAAATGTGTTGCTGTTCATTTCTTAATGCAGTCCTATGTTACTGGATACCCATAACATTCAGTATCTCCAAGGTAAAAACAAACAACTGATTAAACCATCTTAGAATGTGTCTTACTTGGTATTAGGTTCCATTCAATGAGGACAACTCCTGGGCTCATTTGAATTTACTTCTACTAGCGCACTTCATTGGCACTTAGATAACTTAAGGTTTAGAAAACAAGGGCTTTTTATTTCGGTCAGCACCCACCACAATAAGCTGATGTCTAACTGCATTTTATTCAGTAGAGTAAGTACATGAATCTTGGGTGGATTTAAAAGGTGGTTCTAATATTAAGTGACCTCCTTTGTAGTTCAAATAAACTTATCTCCCTCCTAACACCACCACTTGTCAGAAGCAATACGTCTAAAGGATCTCCATAACTGCAGGTATATTTATGATAAACGTCTAAAGGGTCTTCATCACTGCAGGTATGTTTAGGGCAACGCCATCATTACTGAGAGCCACTTGTGTAGATGAGTTGGACTATGCAATTCATTATAGTCAGTTCCATCTAGTTTGGAACTTTTTAGAGATGCCAGTGATTCATTTTCTTATATCTAGTCTCAAAAACGTGTTCTAAATTTGATATATATCTTTTCGATTCCAATTAAACATTCTTTTATAGTGAAGTAGAACTGTACACTCAGAATTGTACATATAACTTAAATCTTATATGTTGTGCAGTTTTTTGGATAATCACATAAATAATTAACTTTAAGGGGTTTTGACACAAAATGACCAGGGTTCTAGGTCAGAATGTGTGCATTCTTTAAGTTAAGGAAAGTTTAATAAGGAAAATAGGTGTTCTTTGCTATATAAATTATTTGTAATTTTATAAGCCTGTCGAGATTTCTTAAACATAAGGATGTTTGACGAACTATTCAAGAAAAATATGGGAATTTGGTAGATCTGAACTAACTGGTCTGAAGCTACAGAAAGTTAAAGTAAATCTGAATATTCTGAATAACTGTGAGGTGTTTAAGGCTATTCCAAAAGTTTTGCATTTTAAAATGAAAATTTCAGATATAAACAACTAGAAAAGTATAGAGAAGCCTAAAATCAATTTTAGCAGCTGAGGTGAAATTTAAAAGAAACTCTATAAAACTTTAGGAAATCAATTGTGTAAGTGTAAACAAAGTCCCAAGGAATCTTTAAGTTTGGCAGATTTCTTTTATTTGTGAAAAGTGATAACTAGAAATAATAATTATAATCAGTTATTCAAAACTAAACTAACGCATTTAGAAAGAATAGCTTTTTTTTAAAAAAAAGAGAGAGAGATCAATTAAGAGATGCTTTTGTTAATAATAATTTATTCCACAATTTATCGGACTACACTTTAAATGGTCCCGAGAAGAACGTGTTAATTTAAGGATTGAGATTTTCTCCATTCCTTATGGAATTGATTTTTTTTATATTTTTAATTACTTTTTGAAACTTTGTTGAATGATTTTAAAATTTGTGAAGTTTATTTTAAACCCAAATAGAGTGGAATTTGAGAAATAAAGAAAATGAAGATTGAACTAATAATAAATATTTAGTAATTACTAAACCAGCTAAAGGAAATATTTTGAACAGAGATGACTGTAATAAAAATTTATGACATCTAAAATGATACAAAACAAATTTATACCAATTGGGAAAGATCCCGTTAGAACAAGAGAGTTTAAACTTTAGATACTTGCTGTAAAAACGGATAATATAATCACTGAAGAATAGGCCCGACATGACCAGGTGGTTAGGGCACTCGACTCGAAATCTGCGGGTTCGAATCCCCGTCACACGAAAACATGCTCGCCATTTCGGCTATGGGGTTGTTATAATGTGACGGTCAATCCCACTATTTGTTGGTAAAAGAATAGCCCAAAAGTTGGCGGTGGGTCTTACACTGCTAAATTAGGGACGGCTAGCGCAGATAGCCCTCGTTTAGCTTTGCGCGAAATTCAAAAACAAACAAACAAACACTGAAGAAATATACCAAGAAATCAGACCTGATGAGAGAAGTAATTACTGATACAGAAAAGATAAAGGTTCAGGGGAAAATAATGTATAATAATAAGAATGCTGAAGGTACAGCACATATGAGTGAATCTGAGGAGGAGATATAGTTGTTACTTGACAGGCTTGTTTATAAAGGGAAAAAATACGGACTCAAAATAAATGTCAATGTAACTGGAACAACGGTACTTTCATGATATGAGAAAGATCAGAAAACATGCGTCAAGTCCTGCTCTACAGTGTGGCGGTAACTTGGACCCTATATGTTGAAACAGAGTGAGTGTTAGAAGCATTTGAAATGTGGTGCTATAGATGAATGATGAAGATCAGCTACATGGAAAGTACAACTAATGACGAAGTAATGGGATGTGTAAAGACAAGAAACAGTTGCTAAACATGAACCCAAGGTGCGTCAATTTGACCACATGATCACATACAAGGGAAGGTTTGATGGGTAAACTTGAATGAACACGAATGACGCAAAGGCAAATTGGTTTAGGTCGGTGACATTAGGAAGTGGATTGGAGATAAGAAGCTTGAAAGTTGGTGCAGGGAGCGAGAAATACAGAACATTGGAAAACCATAGTCATGGACCATCAAAATTGGGGAAGATAACATAACTGATTGATCATACGTTGGATAGAAAGTGAAAGTTGTTGTTAAACAAATGGGAATATGATATTGTAATATATTGAGGAATTACGTACTCTATAAATAACATGACAGAGTAGACACTTGTAACTTAGTAATGAAATACTGAGTAAATATAAATTATATGCATCATTATTAGACGAAGATTCATAAAGTCAAATTATGATGCTTTTCGAACTGCTTAAATTTTTTTTACAAGTTTTTTAAAATACTATTTCAAGCATTTATTTGATTGAAACAATAAACCTCTGTAGTTTTTAAGAACAGGAACTTTTGATTGTTTTCAGTTCCTCATATTCTTAACGGTTTGGTATTCTGGTAGGTCAGCGGTAAGATTACGGGGTTACAACGATAAAATCTGATAAAGAATAAAAGTTATTAAAGTTTGGTTTCGGAAGTAATTAATTTCTATTTACTGGTAAAAAGAGAAATATAAAAAAAACAATAAAAATATCCAATGCAGATAAAACGGATGTGTTTTAGTTTTGGCCCATTAGGTACACCTGAAAAAATAGATTTATATATTTTTTAATTTCAAGAGGGCTGAGCGCGGCTTAGTGATTGGCGTACTCCCACTGTGAGCCTAACAGGTAATGGTTTGTGGCTGATTACCACAAAGTCACAATATGCACATTGGAGACACTATGGATGTGAAATAAAATTTGACAGTCATATCTCAATATTCTGTCTAATGAAATTAATTTCTTTTATTTTTTTAATAATAACAGTTCCTTTGTGTGTTCTTTACTTTTATTTCTAAATGTAATAAAATAAACTTTCCATAACACTTCTGTTTTTTTTACTTTCAGTCTGGTATTTATTTCGCAAAGTCTACCAAAATGTCATGCACTTATTATTCTTTGTTAACATTTGTTGATAAAATAACATCTAAAACCGAAAGTTTGTTTGCTTACTTAACAATACCATAAATCACCTTTAGACAGGGAAGTAGCAAGAAGACGAAATTTTCAATCACTTTAGAAGCTACGAGTCATAGTAGAGAAGTAATGTATTTCTAGAACTAAAACACTTCGAACGTGAAGAGCTAAAAAAACCTAAAGTAACAACAAAAACAGACAAGAATCTAAGAGAACAAGTTCTTACTTTTGTCGATAGAACTAGAACACATCATAACTACATTCATATACATGTCTCAGAGGCAAATATGAGGCCTTATAAAACTAAAAGTCTGGATTAGATACTCGCGGTGTACAGAGCGCATATAGACCATTGTGTAACTATGTGCTTAACAACAAAACACACAAAAATGATTATTTTATTAATCAACTTTTTCATTCATAGTGTTCCCAGTCTATATGATATTTTTATTATTATTACATCATCATGGGATTTGTTTGTTTGTTTTCTGGAACAAAACTATACAATGAGCTATTGTATTTCTGTCCATCGTGGAGAATTGAATGGCAGATTTTAGCGTAGTAAGTTTGTAAGCCTAACGTTGACTCCCCGGGTCACAATGGGATATAGTGCCCATAGTAGAGATCGAACCCCCAATTTTAGCATTATTAGTTCCATAGTTGACCGCTTGTTAATATCGTTTTTTAGTAAAAGGTCTGGTCGTTATAAAAATGACAGTGATCCTGTTAGTCGGTTCAAGGAGCCACTCAAATTCCTTATGGTAAAGGTAGCTGCTGACTGACTGTCTTCTGTCTTGAACAGTGGTTGAAAATTTGGGACAATTCTTATTGAACCCTAGTGGTCTTTCACTTGTTCGTTCAGCCCACTTGTGCACAAGGTGCCGCCTATTTTTAATACACAAATTTCTTTTGTATAAAATAAATAAGTAATAACATCTATTTTTGGAGTTTTTTATTCTGTATGTGGACTCGCGAAAGCTGATACTGGCTGATCTTTTTGTGTGTGTATGTGTCCTGATTCATCCTAAGACTTCGCTGGTTCACTGATGTAAGTAAAAAGAAAATGGTTCTTTGAGTTATCTACAAAGAAACCAAAAATGGGTGTACATGAACAAGATCTGGGTTTACATATATTTTGAATTGAATTTTTAAAAGGAAATTTTTTATTCAGAAGACTTCCATTTTGTAATTTTGCTTACAAACTTTGATAGTTGCTTTGAAAAATTAACAAATTAGATATTCTTTGGTAAAGGTTTCAGTTTAAAGAAAAAGTGAAAACAGAGAAGTAAAAATAAAAGGGTATCTACATAAATAAATAAATATATGTATAAAAAGAGAGAGAGAGTAAAAATGAAGGTAGAGACATATCGATATACTGAGTGACATAGAGAAATAAAGTGACAATCTACACAGGAGATGATGAGATGAAAATGTTATTTATAGGATACAATCTGTACAAGCAGCGAAGAGTGTATTAAAAACAATATACACCAAACCACAGTTCATTTTACGTACTTCAGAACGTGTACACATCAGATCACTTAGCTGTGGAATACGTTAGCGGAATTCTTCCAATAAAAAATATGGCAAAAAAGTAGACACTAATAGCGTAATTTTTTTCCAATGTTACAGAAGAACATATCATTAGTTAAGTACCTAATAAGTACGCTTTACGAGACTAAAACAACTTATTATAACTTTTGTTCATTTCATAAGCTTACTTTAAAACGCATCAAATCAATCATTTTTGAAAATAACCATATTTGATAGAGTTTCTAACCCTAACATGGTTCCTGTCGATATTTCTGTAATATAATGCAGAAATAATAATGTTCTAAGAAGACATAGATCTAAAACTTCATAAAGAGATTTGTGACAATTTTGATAATACTATACAATACATCATTATAATTTATCAGTTGCTAAAGAGTATTTAAGAAATAATAAGTACCTTCTACGTCGTTGCTAAATTTCATAAGATTATTTTTCACACACTCATGTGTTGAACTCCAAACAAATGTTGACCTGAACTTATGAATATGAGTACATCATTAAAATATATATATAAAAAAAACTTGTGTAAAATGACACATAATATTCGGTTAAAGGCAAACACTTTTAAAAATAAAGAAATTCAAGAATTATCAACCTTACACACATTCTTAAAATGCATTTTAGCTCAGAAGTTGTATCCAATTCGCTTGTGCTGCGTTCAAATCCAACATGGCAACAGTTGTCAGTTGCATTTAAAAGATAGAGAGAAACGTGGATGATGTTGCAATGAAACTGCTGTCAGCTAACACAAATGTTTCATTTAACACGTTCGCTGCCGTATGCCCCACCAGTGGGTCACAACACGACTTTTAGATATGGACCGCGTGACACACTGTTAGGTTATATACAATTAAGTTTCAAAGCCAAATTTCTCTTGTGCCATATGAGTTTGGGACACTGTGACTGTTTCTTGGCACCTCTTCAATGTTTGATTTTATGTATACTTAATTTATTAAGTGGCAGTAAACGTGTTAACACTGGGAAATAAACAGTTGTGTTGTCATGAAGCCGCTGCACGCAAAATCATAGGTCTTACATTAAGTTATTATAACAAATAAATTTTAAAATAATTATGACTGGCTTTGATTTTATCGTATACTATTCACTCCACAAGAATTTAACCACAGACCAGTTGTCACAATAATATTTATTCGTTATAGGCCAACTATGGACGGTTGGTAAAGTTTTGCATGTGTGTTTCTATAAGAAGCTGTGGATAATAACAAACTGCCATTATACAGAAACGTTTACACCACTTCTCACTATGACGAAATTTAAGTCAAATGCGTTTCAGGACCCGGAAAACATTAAATATTAAACTCTCTTAGTTCACGAGGGGGAATTTTAAGTCAGTGATACAAAGAAGAAGAAATGAAAACAGGTTTCTTGTCAATATATACAATGGCGACATTTATATCGTAAGATGCAATGCATTCTTTGTTAAATTACTCAGATGATTAAAAACATACTATTTAACAAAAGATGCAAAACATGTTAGATATCTTTCAATAATAAAATTATAAAGGCACTTGATCAGATCCAATTGAGCAAAAAAGCATTTGACATCGCATAGTATGAAACAACAGAAAAAACACGAATGCCTTTATTCCCGCTTTTTTTCTCCTTAGATATGGTTGGTTGACAGATAGAACGACGAACATCTAATTACAGTCGATGCGATTATTTCCCAAGGGATTATCTAGAATATGTTCTTATCGTTTTATTTGTGTTCTCTTTACTTATTTTCCATGCACTAAATGTTTAATATATTGTAACTAGTAACATATCCCTGAACTTGCAATAAGCTAGAAACTCAAACTTCTTACAGAGTAGGCTTATAAAAACAACACGTGGCTATCGAAAAAACATTTTTTTCACACCATTTACTTTTCGATAATACCATAATTTTTTATAAAGCAAATGAAAAACATAACAATGAAAATAATGCAAAACATATTTTAATATGTATTCATCTTACAACGCTTCGACCTTACAACGCATACACTATTCTTATACGCTTAGCAACTATATAGAGGTGAATAAAAGTATGGAAATATTTAAACTAATGAAACTGTCATTCACTAAAAACAGATTAGTATAACTGTATCAAAAAATCTATACATTTCATAGCACATATAACAGCATATTATAACACTGCACGCTCATCTCGTTATTTCCCGCGATTAGAACGTTCTTTTGCTGTATAAACGTAGTTGAATTAAAGAACCGCCATTTTATACCTGGTGATGGTCTTTGTACGAAAGATGAATACGTAAGTATGGTTTACTTTATTTTCGTGTTTTTTTTCATTTATATTGAAACTAAGACTTCCGTCATATGAGTCAACATGTTCATATTATGTTACTTTAAACAATACCACTTCTTGTTTACGTTCATTTCCTCAATAATGCTACATGTTCTTCACGTGACTTTCAACAATGCTGCATCTTGCTCACGTGACATTACTAATTCTGTATTTAAAACTGAACTCAAAGTGGGCATTACAAATTTCATTACGAATATGTCGAGTTAAAGTAACCAAAAAAGCTTTTTTTTGCTTATTTTGTTTAAAATTTCACAATACAACAAGACTGCATAATATTTATTGTGTGCATGTCCATAATATCATATCTTATAATTCATCATTCCAGTCATAGGTTGTTAATAAGTCTCCTTATTTGACTAAATGGTGATTGAAATAACAACAAAGGAGTTTATATAATCTTCTGAAGCTAAGTTCAAGCGTTAATCATAACGTCTATATCTAAATGATGCGAAAAGAAGAACATTACAAGTCTAGAAAGGAATAAAAAATTACTACATAACATACTAATGCGAAGCTTTTTTGGCTTGGTTTAAATTGCATATTATAACAATAAAAATAAACACACTTGGCTATATAGTATACATATTATCTTTCCAACAGTAACATTTCTTCCAACAGTATTCCTGCTTCATCATCTTTCTATAACATCATTAACCTACCAATGACAGTGTTACCATTTATCCTGCGAATGTTAATATCGCTTCCAATAACATCATTATCGTTGCAACAATATCAACTTCCTAACAATATTACTATCAGCCTACCAATCACAGTATCAACTTGTCAATAATAGTATTACCCTATAAATAACAGCAACATCTTATCAGTAATTGTAACACAGAAGACAAATATGTGCTGATTGTCTTTTAAACAAATAGTGCAATATTACTTGTAAAAATACATTCTAGAAACATCTATGTGATTGCTTCGTTAAACGTTATTTTTTACCTTTAATTACAAATTGTCTTAACTAACTTAAAAGTTCTTCTCAGTACATTTATAGTACTTAATTTTTATTTGAGATGTTGGCAAAATAATTAGAATAACGTTATCATCCACGCTAAAAAAACATGTATCTGCAACGGATATTTTATGTAAAACATAAACATACAAGACGTCTCAAATCTGTCTTTCCACAGCTAAGCCTAAGGCAACAGATATGTAAACTAAAATATTCCATCTTTAATACACAATGGACAGCCAACCACCGATGCTCAGGACGATGTACAAATTTTATGTTATTGAGGCTCAAAATATTTGTAACTTGCCTCCATTACTTTAACGCAACGGATATTTGCTTTTTGGCCATTTTTATTATCTTAGTCGCAATAGAGTACTGTATTAGAAATGAATAAAAATAAAATAAAAATAAGAAGCAGATAATTCTGGGCGATCCTGCATATATATACTCTCTACTCCTTACACAATTGGTATACCAACAAAGTGGTGATTCTAAAACTCCATATAGTAGATCATAGAAAAATTTGGTAAGATTTGGGTTTCTTGGTTCTCCTGAGAACCTAAGCACTATTTGTAATAACTAACGATGTAACAAACAGATAGCATCGTCTTCTTGAAAAACGTACAATGTAATTGATAAGACTTGCTTGATAACAATCAGGTTCAAAGGGAATTTGATTCATAAGCTCTATTTCTTATGAACTTATTTAGGTTGGTTTTCAAACTAATTTACTCAGTAATAGCTAGGTTCCCAATTCTTCCGAAAATGCATAATATTTCCACCAAAAATTGTTTGGTAACGGCCTGGCGCCGTGGTTCTATTGAAAACATATGCAACGATTCTACATTGTTGGTCTAGTAGCAGTCTTCTGAAAACCTATACAACAATTCTCAAAAGCTAGTCTTGTAGCAGTCCTTAGTCCTTTGAAACCTATACATTGATTTACAAGAGCTAGTCTTGTAGCAGTCCTTAGTCCTATGAAACCTATACATTGATTCTCAAGAGCTGGTCTTTTAGCAGCTCGTAGTTATTCTGAAAACCTATAGAATGAATCTCAGGAGCTGGTCTTTCAGCAGTTCGTAGTTATTCTGAAAAACCTATAGAGTGAATCTCGGGAGATGGTCTTTTAGTAGTCCTTAGTCCTTTGAAACCTATACATTGATTCTCAAGAGCAGGTCTTTAAGCAGTCCATAGTTATTTTGAAAACCTATACAGCGAATCTCAGGAGCTGGTCTTTTGGCAGTCCACAGTTATTTTGAAAACCTATACAGCGAATCTCAGGAGCTGGTCTTTTGGCAGTCCACAGTTATTTTGAAAACCTATACAGCGAATCTCAGGAGCTGGTCTTTTAGTAGGCCGTAGTTATTCTGAAAATCTATATAGCGAATCTCAGGAGGTGGTCTTTTAGCAGTCCATAGTTCTTTTGAAAACCTATACAGCGATGCTCAAGAGCTGGACTAGTGGCAGTCCTACTTCTTCTGAAAACTTATATAGCTATTCTCGAGAGAGCTTTTATATTAGAGCCTGTAATCCTTCTGAAAGTCTCTATAGTTATTGTCAAGAACCGATTTTTAAACTAATTTACTCAGTAATAGCTAGGTTCCACGATTCTTCCGAAAATGCATAATATTTTCACCAAAAATTGTTTGGTAACGGCCTGGCGCCGTGGTTCTATTGAAAACATATACAACGATTCTACATTGTTGGTCTAGTAGCAGTCCGTAGTTCTTCTGAAAACCTATACAACGATTTTCAAAAGCTAATCTTGTAGCAGTCCTTAGTCCTTTGAAACATATACATTGATTCTCAAGAGCTGGTCGTTTAGCAGTCCATAGTTATTTTGAAAACCTAAACGGCGAATCTCAGGAGCTGGTCTTTTAGCAGTTCGTAGTTATTCTGAAAACATATACAGCGAATCTCAGGAGCTGGTCTTTTGGCAGTCCACAGTTATTTTGAAAACCTATGCAGCGAATCTCAGGAGCTAGTCTTTTAGTAGTCCGTAGTTAATCTGAAAACCTATACAGCGAATCTCAGAATCTGGTCTTTTAGTAGTCCGTAGTTAATCTGAAAACCTATACAGCGAATCTCAGGAGCTGGTCTTTTAGCAGTCCGTAGTTCTTCTGAAAACCTATACAACAATTCTCATAAGCTTGCCTTGTAACATTCCTTACTCCTTTGAAACTTATACATTGATTCTCAAGAGCTGGTCTTTTAGCAGTCCATAGTTATTTTGAAAACCTATACAGCGAAACTCAGGAGCTGATCTTTTCACATTTCGTAGTTATTCTGAAAACCTATACAGCGATGCTCAATAGCTGGGCTAGTGGCAGTCCCTACTTCTTCTGAAAACTTGTATAGCTATTCTCGAGAGAGTTTGTATAGTAAAGTCTGTAGTCCTTCTGAAAGTCTCTATAGTTATTGTCAAGAACTGGTCTAATAGCAATCCGCTGTTTTTGTTTTTTTTGACACCGTAAACAACGATTCTCAAGAGCTGGTGTGGTATCAATCCTTAATTTTTCTGAAAACCTATACAACGATCCTCAAGAACTGGTCTAGTAGCTGTCCATAGTTCTTCTGAAAACCTATACAACGATTCTCAAGAACTGGTCTTGTAGCTGTCCATAGTTCTTCTGAAAACCTATACAACGATCCTCTAGAACTGGTCTAGTAGCTGTCCATAGTTCTTCTGAAAACCTATACAACGATTCTCAAGAACTGGTCTAGTAGCTGTCCATAGTTCTTCTGAAAACCTATACAACGATCCTCAAGAACTGGTCTTGTAGCTGTCCACAGTTCTTTTGAAAATTTGGATAGCTATTCTCAAGAGCTAGTCTAGTGACAGTCCACAGTTATTCTGAAAACCTATATAGTTATTCTCAAGAACTGTTCTAGTAGAGTCCGTAATTTTTCTGAAATCCTATACAAATATTCTCAAAAGCTGGTCTAGTAGCAATCTATAATTGTTCTGAAACCTATATAGCGATTTTCGAAATCTTGTCTGTGGTTTTTCTTAAACTAGATTGTAGGGTATTCGTGAGAGATTGTATAGCACTTCTTAAGAATTTTTCTTGTAACAGTCAGGTTTCATGGCTCTTGTAAATGCCTATACAGTGATTTGTAAGAACTGGTCTGGTGTCAATCAAGTTGTGTGTTTCTCCAAAAACCTAAAAATCATTTTGAAGAGCTGGTCTGCTAGTAACCACCAGATTGCTTGTTTAACAAGAGAACCCATGAAATGTTTCTTAAGAACTGGTCTGGTTAAAGCAGTTTCCACGGTTCTCACGAGAACCAGTATCAGAGGTGAAAATAGTATTAATTACATTTAAGCTTATAATTTAATTCTAAAGTTTAGACAAAATTGTGTTGTATTACTTCAGTAGAAAAGAAATGGGGCTCAACCCTACATTAATAGAGAAGTAATGAAACTTGACTTTATCGTTTTAACAAAACTACGATAAACTCCAAGACAGCAATGGAAGTATTCCAAACAAGATTAAGTACTATAGAGAATAAAATGCGATGTATTAGTATTATTTTAACCCAAGGTTTATGTAACATCTCAGAGAGACCTGAAAACTGAAGGCCTACGCTTTTCTGAGACTCCACAGTTTGTTCTTTATATAAGTAATAAAAACTTTTAATATCTACATGACCGCACTGGTTTCGACACTTCCAATATCTTATAAGTGGCTAGCTACATAATTAAGACCATTATCTAATTGTTTGTTAGAATACACTAGAAGGGTAAAATATGAAATTCGTCATTTAAACATGCTAACGTGAACTGCAATTCCTACTACCTCTAATGAGTGCTTTAGTTGAAAATGTTATACATGATTTTCAAGGCTGGCTTTAGTTGGGTTACTTTCTGATATTCTTATTCAACTTTTCTTATAGCTTGAAAGTGGAATTAGTATGTAAAAGCACTACCTTCGCTAAGAATAATGATTGAATGTCGCTGTGGGTAAGATTTACTTTCATGCAGTTGATGAAGTTAAATATTTTATCTGTATTTTAAGTTAATACGTTTTCTGTTCACTAATCTTTACATGATTGTGATTTCTCTTCTAAACAAGTGCTTTGTTTCTGTGGTCGAGAATTCACTTAAAGTATTGCAGTTAAAACGCTACTTTCTATTTGATAACATACAATGTCTTATTGAAGTACGTAGCCTTAAGGAATTTGCAAAAATCTCAATTTGAAAACTCTGGTATCTGTTTAAACAGCTACTGAATAACAGTTCAAGAAGAATTAGAAATAGATTAAGAGACTTTTCTAAGATATTCGTTCTACAAGACAACATTTTGTTACTGAAAGACAAACTTGGTATTGAAAAAGAGCTAACCTTTGGTTCTATTTCTAACCAGCAGATGAAAAGAAAACCATCCCAATGATTTGTTACCATCAGGAAAAAAAACAAACCACGTCTTAAGCCACGTGACACAGGAAAAACAAACAATCTCTTCAGTTTGAATAAAAGATGGAACAATATGTTTGTTAGGTCATAAAATACTCTATCCGAATAAAGCTTAAGAGGCTCTTTAGGTTTAGTCAAAATGTTTTACAAAACTTCGGCTGCATAAGTGTCTGGTACTTAGGCTAACTTGACTTTGTGATTTTATCGCTGGTACCCTCTGGAAGCAAAATATATAATTTTAGCTTAATCCTGAAATATGAAAAGCTACTCGGACATTAACCATTATCTAGAAAATAATAAGACATTACAGAGTCAGTAACGCCCACGATCTTTCAAAGTATCAATATGAACAACGTAGTTGAGTCAAGTCTTTCATCCTTTCTAGCTTATAAAGTTATTATATATTATTACTCTGAACTACTGGATGGAGCAAGCATTAAGAAGTCCGTCTAACAGCCCATGACCCCCCAGACGATGGAGTTGTGGATCTTCGACCGAATTACTCCTTTCCCTTTCTCCTGCTCCTCCGCCAGGAATGTCCTCCTCCAACAAGTCTTGCCTGAGACCCTTACCTCCGCAAGGATCCCTAGGCAACCCTAGTCACCTGGTTACTGGCGGTCGAATTGGCTTATTGCTAAGGATCCTTTCAATTTCGTTCACAACATTTGTGTTCAGTCGAGGCAACACCTATTAATTAAAGAAATTCTATCGAAACCTGTTTTAATTAAAATTCATTAAGAAACACTTGTACACGAGTTAAAAAATTATACTCTAAAAAACTATATAAAATGTTTTAACTGTTTTTGGTAATTTTTTGTTGTTTTACGTAAAGGAAAATTAAAAACAACTGTGAGAACATTAAACATAAAAAAGAAAGTAATGTTTAAATTTAAATATTTACTTTTTCTTTTTGCAAAACTTTTCTACTCTTGGATTTAAATCATCACCAAAGTCAGTTAATGTTGATGTGAAATATCCTGTAAGTCACAAGAGAACGTACAAAAACACATCTGTACACTTGAAAAAATCATATTATTATAATTAACTTAGTCGCAAGTTATTCAAGTGGCAAGACCACGTAGAAAAACGCATCTGTTCATTACACATTCAAAAATCATATTGTCATTGTTAACTCTGTCGCGAGTTATTTAAGTACATTGTACAATTTTAAGTCAATGAAAGTTCATGTTCAATTTTAGTTTGTATCATATCAGTTTAAAACTCGAAACGATGAAACAGCATCACTTACTAAAAGCTATACCAAGCTTACTGCCTTCTTCATAATAGCGAGAGTTTTCACAAAATAGACTCTTTAGAAAAGTACATTATTTGTATATATTTTAGGTCTAATTCATCGAGAGTGCACCGCTTTTTTTTAGTCATTAACGATTGTACTTTAAATTAAAAATGATATAGCTATGTAAGATTACTTTTTAATATTTTCTCCAAACAAATACATTATTCTGAACTGTTTCTCGAGATATAGATAAATCAAATATACAAAGGGGACATATTAGGATGATCCCTTACCTGCAAGGCATGAAGATGGTCAAATAGTTGCCCCACAGAGGAGGCTCCGACAAGAACACAGTGGACACAGTCAGTCTTAAGGCACCACGCTGAAAGACATTTAAATATTAAACGTTTTACAGAGGATTAAATATCCCTTTGGCATTTCTGCCTAAACTCAACTGTCAAATAACTTTCTTGCATCTTAGGATCTAGCGCAGGTGGAATGTAGTCAAAATACTATTTTGTTTTTATGCTGAATTGCAACTTTTTCAAATCTTCGAGGATCCGGCAGTTTAATATTCCTATGGATAATTTATGGTGCAAAAATGATTTTGAAATTTTAGCAAAGTTTACCCGAGTCATTTCACCTTCCTTATTGGCCCCTTAACTTCGCGTGCTTGAAAGATGTCAGTAAGTTGCGGAGATGTACATCGTTTACCTAATCTGCTGCAGTTTAGAAATGTTAGTAAGATAATCGTCGAAAATGCAAGACAGTTAAATCTCACTTTTGGGATATTTCTGTGTCCTGAAATAATTAAAAAACATCAAAAATATAATTTTTTTTCAGTTTCATAGTTGCGTCCTAGGGAGATGTGCAATGTCTTGTAATTTTTCTACGAAAGTACCTATGTGTTCCCAAGGTCTTCGAATATATTCAGCATTTCAACTCTTTGATGAGTTTCTCATACAGCAGGATGCTCATAATCCATGGTAAAAATTTGCATATCTCTCATGGCCTGTTATTATACAGGTTAAAAGTTCTGGCCCTCTTGTCGCGTTCAATTGAAATGTCGTAACTTGTAAGGGCAGAATGTGACTAAAATTGACTCTTTTTGGAAGGTTATATTTCAAACCTTTCCGATACAAAGTTCTCCTATTCCAGGATTGTGAAAACATGCAGGGTACGAAATTTTAGCATTTTTGAGGAAAGAGATATCTATAGTGTTGAAGTGTATCAGTAACGCAAGGGAAGGTTTAATTGCAGAAAGAAAAAAACGAGCTACTACACAGCTATCTATCAGTCACACACCAAAGGCAATGAAGATGATTAAACTGCTTGTCACCGGAAGTAACTCAAGAACAGAGCAGTCTAATGCATCTAACGTATGAACCTCCCAATGAACTGAAAGTAAAATAATTTACATGAATGCATTTTAAAACGCGACACACGAATTGCGTTCATAAGCTTCTACAAAGCGCATATCCAAAATGAAGACTAACTATCGAATACTGTACGAGTGTCATATGGCATGCGGTAAATGGAAGTATGCCATCACTTTGGATTAAGCATGTGCCTTCTTTACTGTCTTTTGTAGTCCAGACAACATTTTATCGTCCTTCTGATGATACAACATTTTAAAAAATGGTTCGAAGCATATCGAGAAAGTTTATCCAATGAATCCATGTTGGTTGAAGTCACAGTTCTAATGCTAAGTTAAACATCCAGATAGTTGAGGAAAATTGTAAAGCGAATTCTGAAAACTGTCAGGCTATCTTAATGACTTCATTATACCGCGAGAAAATAACACCCTTCAACAAACTGAATGCCACGCCTGTATCAAAATGTCATTTTTTGTACGCAAGAATAAACAAGAATCCATGCTATGGCTCTTGTAGATATCTCCTATGGGTTGCTCGAACGTGGGCCCCAGAAGAAGTCGTCCGTGTACGGTGGTGGCTTTTGGAAAGTATGCAAAGAGGAGAGGCACAACGTTAACCTCTTATTTGTACAAAAACCTCCTATAGTGAACATTGCCCCTCAGAGTGATAATCTATAACCAGGACCATCACATAAAACATCATTGGTGAAAGAGGAAGGAACTTTCAGGCCTTGGAGCTCATTATCTGATTCATGGTTGAGGCCTTCGGGTATTTTAATAAATCTTACGAATAAAAATGAAATCTTCGAAGGGGAATGATATAGTATCTTATTATTTATATCTTTCTAAAATTGAAAACCTTTCGACTTGTTTGAGAACACTCTTTGAATATAAAAAAAAAAGTTCCAGCATAAAGATCAAAACTTTTTGGCCACATCAGGTTTTGAGACAATCGGTACTCTCAACTGTCACTTCTCAGAAATTTTAATTTGGAATAATTTCCCTAGAAAGGTTGTAAAAATGTAATTCAGTGAAATATCAATTCTTGAAAGCTTACCTATGTATAACTGTGTTAATGTACAGCCTAATTTTTCCACCAGGAAGGATAGTTGATGAATTTTAGCCTGATGTCGAGGACTGCGATTCTCGTCTGATGCAGTTTTGTCAGAGGTCCCTGAATAGTTCTGTTAATTAAAAGTTAAAGAAATTTAGTACTTACTTAATGTGTTGGCCAAAAATATAATGTTCTTCACTTTTTAATCCTTTAATTCATAGGACACTGTATAAGGTTGTAGATTAAGAACAAGTTATGTCCAAGGTTGGTGCTGGGGTGGGCACCTTAAATTTCATTCTGGCCCACAAGTTATCCTCAGGGTTGGTGCTGGGGTGGGCACCTTAAATTTCACTCTGGCCCACAAGTTATGCCCAAGGTCGGTGCTGGGGTGGGCACCTTAAATTTCACTCTGGCCCACAAGTTATGCCCAAGGTTGGTGCTGGGGTGAGCACCTTAAATTTCACTCTGGCCCACAAGTTATGCCCAAGGTTGGTGCTGGGGTGGGCACCATAAATTTCACTCTGGTCCACCTACGTTCATTCTTCTTAGCGGTTAAAAAATTGTATCGTTCTATGGTGGCCCCACAAAGGGAGAGAATGAGAAGACGGGACAAGTCCTGCTGCATATGTTCTCTGTATGTTTATTGCAAAGATGTCTTCATTAGATGATTGTGAAAACATAGGTAGTTTATCTAACCGATTCTTGGAATTAATACATTATCTAAGTTCGTGAGAGTGGAAGAATATGAAATGTGATGTATTATTCTTATTAGAGTAAATTAATATCAGATTTGACCTATTAACTCTCCATGAAAGTAAACTTACGTATGACTTCAATAAAAGTAAATCCTCAACTCCTCATGAAAGACGGGAAAGATGATGCGTGTCTTCTTAATAAAACTGAATTACACTAGATAAGCATAAAATATAAGTTGTAAATCCTGACAGTAATTGTACATAATACCTAACCTAATGCGTAAATTAATTAAACTTATAACCACTGTTATAAAATAATGGCATTCACTCCCTTCAGTTCATTGTTTTGTAAGTCAGGCATCTGTTAATAAATCACGTGACCTCAAGTTCGTTAGAGATGGCTTTACATCTTTATTGTTCATGATATTTCAGTTGAGTTTAGAACATGACATCAGATAAAGTAAGGTGGCAACTCGGGATGGAGGTTACTTGCTTAAACTCACAGTGTTGATAAGGTATTCTCGACCACTTCTCTGAAAATAGTTATTTCCAGAACAGTTTTAGTACCTGAGATCACTTTAAGAGAACCACCGCAATACGTGACGTGTCTTCCAATAGCATATCATACATTGATTAAAGTCCGGTGAGTGTGCAGGACGCTCCATTCGATCACCCCCTCCCATTCCCCTCTTTCCATCATGAAGTGCGATTTGAATTATCATAGTACAGAAGGAAGCTATCTTATTTTATTTAGGCTAACGTTATGATTACTTGTTCGCGTCTCAAGACAATAATGTATGTCATTAGTGGTATCATTACATCTTTACCCTAATACAACACTCATTTATGGTTGTCAACATTTGATCCAATAGCCATAATTGACATATAACGGCTACCTGATTCTGTTTTGAATAATGATTTGCACTGTTTAATGTCTAAGAAACTGTACCACTGAGTTGGAAGTTTTACAAACAAGACTTTGAGGTACTTGTAACCAAATTACAATGGTCTGTTGTATTTGGTCAGCTTCCATTCTTTCGACGGCTCTCCAGAGACCATTATATATATATGTGTGTGTGTGTGTATACAAGCTGATTGATCAACCGTTTGCATTTTAATTCGTATCGCAGATCATCAGATGCATAATGTGCTTAAATATGATATAGGGTGATTGACAAAATTTTATAGCAGGGGTTTTCCTTGTGATTGCACTGGTGTTATAAATTCCAAGTACACTTTTTTGTGCAGTGTAGGTCTTCGGGAAATTAAAATATCATAAAATATAATGCAAAAAAATCTCCATGAAAATATATACTCATAATAATACACTCCCTAACAGGTTCCCATTAAAGTAAATACTCATAACGCATTCCATAATAGAGTCCCATGGAATTAACTGAGCATAATATTTACTATAGTTAACCCCGTGAGAGCAGCTGAAGTTGCAACTTCGTGAATGTTACGAACAAGAAACTTGTTTAATTAGATCTCGCACACTTCCGTGAGAATAAATTGGCATGATATTTGTACTAAAATGTACCCCGTGCGAAAAGGTGAAGTCGAGATTAGACCTAACAATAGGCGAATGCGACATATGGACCAAATGACTGGCGCATGTCCATGATAATAGATTAATATTTTACTTACCCTAATAGATCCTCGCGAAATTAGATGAATCCCTTCATCAAATCTTCCACTCAACCCAAAAGCCTGAGGAGACCAAGTCATAGTGCCGACACCTGGTATCAAGAAACATCATCACCATAACACTGGAGAAGTTTATTAAATAATTATACCCATATTTTGCTTAAAACAAAAAAAAAATATCCTATGTTTAAGTAATATTACAGTAAAGTAGAACTTTAGTAATCAATTCACATGTATGCCACACGTGTGTTGTGTGTTAACTTTATGCTAACCATATGTTTTATTTATATATCTTATGCAGGTTACATGTTGCTCCAACTGAGTATTCATAAACATAATTTGGACAATCCATTATGTGCTGGTCGATTTTGTGTTATTTTCTTTCCATAATGATCAAATTAACATTTACTACACTCTGGGTTGTTATATGCTGACAATACTGATTTATCATCACGTATTGTACTGTTAAGTCTTGTATAAAAAATGTGCTTTAACTATTGAATTCTACAAATCGATCTTATATACCCATTCATGTGCTGTACTGACCAATCTTATGGAAAAGTTCCGGATGAGAGAGTTCCACTTTATCTCTTTGAAACATATGGTACTCTGTCTCTTCCATGACAGGAGGAATCTGGTTAAATTGACGAGCAACTGTATAGGCTTCCTGAAGGCGGAGAAAACGTATTTATTATATTCTATTATCCTTTTATGATAAACCTAATAACTGACTTCAAGCAATAATATATGTAAATATCAGCTATCTTAGATAGATATCATACCTTGAATAAATTAATTTTGTCGCCAATTTTTGGTGTAGGATATTTTGTTTAAAATTATTAATTTTGGGGGTTTAATGTACCAAACAGGAAAACGCTTGATTTTGTCTGTTGAGATGGTAAATTTTTGGCCCTTTCAACCTGATCGGCACCTTATAGGATGGGCTAATCGGTTTGGTCAAATACTTTTAAGTTTCAGACATAGTTAATTATTTGACTATGGAAGCCCATCAGTGATATGTTGGCCCTAATTATTCAACATATTTGGATCAAACAATGGATTTAGAATGGATTTGTTACATATTTCACTGTTGTATGGAGTAATAATCACCAACAAATGTATCTAGGTCCAAATGGGTGTATCTTCGAAGCTTTGTTGGCCCTAATTAAATCAAATAGCATTGAAACATTAAACCACTAACAAGAACTATTAGATCTGATTATACATAAGCGAATTATTGTTTCTTAAAGTAACATATATGTATAAAATAGTTCAACAAAAAATGTAAAAATATGTTACAAATTAAATTTGATCTCAGGCCACCATAATGCTTTATAAAAACATCATATGACTTCCCTAAATAAGGAACAATATATTGAACGGATTTAACGGAATAGTCGTCATTTTCTCAACACACACACAAATATCTCCTATTACTTGAATAACTACAAAGTAGAAGAATAATGTTGAATACTGATTAAAAATAATTTATAATGATTTGATTGGACAAAATCTGTTGGTGGAAAACACAGGGTTGGTAACTAAAGGATTTCTTATGCTCGACAAAACCAGTTTGTTACAACTCTCCTAGTGCTAATGAATACACTGTCATCTTTTAATACAACATCACCAGTAGTACTTCATAAAGCTGGTCTTCCAGCAGTGAACGGACAAGGCTATCTCAATAAGAAAATGGCCCACCTGAAGGTGGGACCGCCTTCCCCCTTTTACAGTTTCAATTAAGTACTCGATATTTATTCTTCTTTGAGCTGTCTCCAATCGTTCACATTTCAAGAGTTATCAGTTACAGTCCACGCTGAAATTACTTAAGAGATTGTTGCTTTCTTCATTAAATACAAATACTCAAAACCAATAATATCAAATATAACTTTATCGCAGTCATGAATGTTTTCATAAACATTCTTCCAGAAAGAAGCAATCGTACGGTAGTTTAAAGTATTCAGCACATGAGTCTAAACTGTTCTATAATTACCAAATATTCGTTTTAAAAGATTTATTCGGTACCAGTGTAATCGGGTGCATTAAAAAAGAATCTTCTGTTTTAAGTAATATTTTCTAGATTACTGTTGCTGGTTTTGGTTCCGGTTGCAAAGAGGAGGGGGAGTTTTTACTATTACCCCTCTTTCGAAGTCTGTTAGATATTTACCGATAGATACACATACACTCATACATACATATATATAGTAATAGATGTTAAACAGATTTTTATGCAATAGTAATTTAAAATTAAAAAAACACATGTAACTTTAATTTTATGCTTTATCACAATTTCTAAACTTATTTCAATAGTACTATTTTGCTCTATATCCTTAGTTGGTGTTTAGATGTTTTAAAGGTTGAGTTGAAAACTTGTTACTGTAGATACTATAGCCTGAAACTTATGTAACTTTATTTACTTTATTACTTTATTAATTAATTGGGTAAACTGTAAGGAAATTTTTACCATATTTAATATCAGGAGTAATGACTGTTGAAACTACTGTAAAAACAAAACTTTTGTATAACTTTATTAAAACGGTAAAGCTGAACATTTTGTATAATATAGTTAAACTTTCCACATCAGATTTTGACGATGTTAGAAAGACTTATAAAAAATATTCAAGTACAGTTCAGGCTATAATATGATAAATAGCCTTATCATAATTATTAATGTTTTCATTAAAATTATTCCAGAAAGAGGCAATCGCATGGTAGTTTAAAAAGGTAACAATACAAGTTATACATATATATTTACAAAAGTGTTTGAAATATATAGAAACTGATAGAAACATTTAAATATTATAAATTTTGACAACATAAAAATATAATACTAAACTTAAAGAAAACTATGGCAAAGCATTAACTAAAATTATTTTAAATTTTGAATTTCAATCTTAAAGAGTTTGAACCTGAAAAATATATAATACAGATTTTTATAATGTTTCAAGTACTCGAGATAAATTTATGGGAAACTAAATTTACTCGTAAATAGTTACCGTCAAACATATACTTAATTAATTTCCAAGTTATCTTTCTTTACATCGTCGTTTCCACGGACACCATCGTACAGTTGGCTCAATGCTAGTTGGTTATTATAAATTTGTAAATTTACATTGATTTAAACAACGACATTGATAATTATCCATAATACTATAGTAACAGTTCTTTTAAAGATCACACATGTTATCACATAGTAACTGATAAATTGGATATTTGAGTGAATAAAGAAGTTCAGGGTATATTTATATCTGGGTCTAAATTTAGCTTCATTTTACATTTAAGTGGCTTGCATCAAAAATGTCAGTTGTTAACTATATAGGTAAGATCTTCGAAACTTAAAAACTGATTCCCTTAATCTTTAGAATAGGAGTGGAAAGTAATGATTGAAGTTGAACATACAAGCAGCATCATTAAAGATCACTAAACATAAATACACAAAACTAACCTTCACAAGTTAAATAATACCCTAAGAAACATAAAAGACAAGCACATGATAACCTTTGTGATAAAGCTACTAGTACTTTTTCATTCATTTAAATAATTATAATGATATATATATATATACATATATACGAGATTGAAATTAATGATATCTTTTGAAAGAGTTACACAGCTAAGAAAACTATTATTACTGGAATGTTCAAGAAAAGCAAAGAAACCAAAGCAACTCCCGAAGCATATCAATCTCTGCTACCCTAAAATAAAAAAAAATCGTGTAGAACTTTTTGTGTTATTGTGTACAGTAACAAAGAATCTTCTGCTTTACGTAATATATTTCATAGATTACTTGTTATTTCTTGTTCAGATGATCAAGATAAATTTAATAATTTATACAGGATCATCAAAAGTGTACTGGAATGTCTAAAACAATGTTTGTATTGTAATACAACTAACTCAAAAAAACCCAGCCATCCGTTTGATTTTAGTACTCTGTATTATATTATCTTACGATAACTTTATTAAGGTTTTTTTTTAACTATTCGATAAATACGTTAACAATTGTTTAACCATTAAAAATTGTGCCAAATCTAACAGTGCTGAAATATTGTAACAATTCCAAATGAAAAACAATTTTCTGAATATCGGAGGAACGATTATAATTTTTTTTTGAAAATCGCTAAGGGATTAAATATAAAAGACAGTGTTAAAAATATAACAGGCCTAATAATAATGTCTAATGACGAGTAAATTAATGCCAGCTTGAAAAAGGCGTTCACACCATAACAAGATTGTTTGTTTGTTGAACTTCGTGCAAGTTACTAGAAGGCTATCTGCGCTAGCCGTGCTTAATTTATAAACTATAGACTAGATGGAAGGCAGCTAATTAACACCACCCGCCATCACTATCTCTTGGGCTACTCTTTACCAATGAAAAGTTGGATTGACCGTCACATTATAACACCCCCGCGACTGAAAGAGCGAGTATGTTCGGTGACGGGATTCGAGCCTGCGACCCTCAGGTTGCAATTCGAATGTCCTAGCCACATAACAAAAGAAGGAATTATGAATTGGAGATATTTAGATTATCTTACTATAAATCAACTACATAAAATTCAATTGCAAAATTTTTTCATCTTAATTCACAGCTTCACAAACTTGTTAACGTTTGCACAAGTAACAAACAATTATAATTCATTTCAAACGATTATCTAATGAATTAAGGTACAATAATTTTAGTATGTTCCAAGAATATTTAAGAAAATGTTCTTTTTTACCTTTAGTTCATGTACAAGTAGCAACGTAACAATACAAAGTTTAAGAAATGAATTACATCTGTTGAAATAAATCTGAATATCTTTTGTTTTCAAGGTCTAATGTAATAGCATTTTTTTCTATCTTTAACTCTTCTTGAAATTAATTATTGTATAACTCACGATTCGAGGTTACTAAAAGTAGCTTTTGTTGAGTTTAACTGCAGTTTCTTGTATCTTACGACACTCAGTTAGAAAAGTCATTCTTACTGTTTCACCCCCCCCCCCATTTACATTTTCATTTACATGTTACATTTTCAATTGTTGTACAAGTACATGACAACCTAAAGTTAATTGTATTTTCAAAAGTACATTTAGTCAAACAAAACCAGTATAATCAATCAAAAGAGGATGGTTTGGAATTATTCTGTACGAAGAACGAATACACGTCCATTCAGTTTGATCTATATTTGTCCCAACGCTAGAAACCGGGTTTCGATACCCGTGGTGGGCAGAGCACAGATAGCCCGTTGTATAGCTTTGTGCTTAACAACAAACAACAACTTCTCACTGTTTCCACACGCACGCATTATATAATAGTTGGGGTCAACCATATTTTTATCCAATAGTAACTTAAGAGTAAAATATATAGATGCAATTCTCGTAGGTGATTGGTAGGGGGGAGCTCAACCCCCTGCCTTCCTATTTTTATGCCCCCAAAGAATTCTCAACAACTACTAAAAGAAACGGCTGATTCCACAACTTGTTTGCTGCGGGTTATTAGGGGAAGAAAAAATTTCACCTTTAATGTAAAAGGCACACAGGTCTTTAAAGTAAATAATAATAATAATTGTGAAATGCTATTATATGTTAACACGCAGGAATTCACCGTCTAGTTTTAGATTGTAAATGTGTTTTTAAGACCAAGTAAATAGGAATAAAAGGAGGTCCTGTTTGCTCCTTATGGAGGATATGGAACAAATGTATTTAATTCGAAAGGAGCTCAGATATTGCAAACAATATAGATATAAAGGAGAATTAGTAATGTGCAGAGAATATTAAAAATACAGGGGCTCAATCACAAGAATAGGGGACTTTTCAGGCATTGTAACACAAGCCGTTTTTTAGGAGAGACTATGGAGAGTGTGTGGTCGTCTTTCGTATACATTGGGAAAAAAATAATTGAAGCTTATACGTCATTAAAGGCACTTGGCAAATTTAATTGATTTTATGATCATTTTGCCTAATTTCCATTTTATCTTGTGTTAATTTCCACAGCAATTCCATTCTTTTCTCAGCTTAGAGTTAAATACTTGGCCTCTTGCACATCAGATGAGTGATATAATAATTAAGCTAATGAGTTAAATCCTAGTAATTACTAGCAGGACAGTTTTCAACAACTCAAACTACCATAAAGTTATAAGTTATGTTTTTGTTGTACAAAATACTAGACATTAATTAATCAGAGCTAAGTACAACGATATTTGTTTCGTAATTTCCTTTAATTGTTTGTCAGTGCTGCCACCTTTGTCTTTCTGTGTTCATTTATCGGATGGAGATATTTACAATTACAACCTCAACAGATAAAATAAAATGTTTTTATTGCTTGAGGCATTAAACCTCTATATATTCATCCTTCTTTAAGATTGTCAAGAAAATTGAGTGTATATTAAAAATACCAAACTTTCATAAAACGTTATGTATATAAAGATAGAGAGAATGAAATAAGATGAACACACACACACATATATAGAGAGAGAAAGAATAAAAAAGTTTTTTTTTTCCAAGGGTTGCCTAAATCTGATCTTACCATTACTTCCATTGCTGTCCATCGCGATGTACCCCAGTACAGTGCCATCCCTTGATGAATGCAGTACGTGCAAGCTCGAACAATCTCTAGAAATAAAAACAACATTAAAATATTTACATGCTCATTCTATTTGAGCCACCACAAGTTCCAAGAGTGGGTTATACCACTGCCAAATAGGGTGTTAAGTTGTAAAATATCTCCTAGCAAGAAGAAAAAGATTACCTAAACCATCCAAGCTGTGGATATTGGTTTAAGCAGAACAAAGTATTGTTCAGAACAATGTTACGCTATAGTAACAAGTAATATGCCGGAACTGCTATTGTTCAAGACAATGTCTAAAGCTAAAACTGTCGTTGTTTAAGATACTAGTATAACATAATAATAATAAGCTTAATTCTAGAACTGCTAATATTCTAGACACAACTATTATGCTGTAATTAAAGGTTTAAAGCCAAAGAAATAATTGTTTAAAAACAGTTTTCCATAAAAGTTTAAAACTTGAGCTGCTATTGTTAAATACTCTGTTAGAGTTACTTTTCTTCGGGGTTATTTTCAGGGCCGTTTCATCCATTAGGCAAAAAGGACAATTGCCCAGGACCCCCCGCTGTCAGGGGCGCGTTGCAAGTATAATAAGAAGTAATAAAATATGAAGTGTATAATGCAATAACAATACTAAACTTTTATTTCAAGAAATATATATACATATATTATTATTAATTTTGTTTAACACAAACTGGAATTTACTATGAAATATTTTTATAAACTTAAATATAATAACTACCTATACCTCCAAAATGTAACCTTATTAGCTCAATATTTCGCTATTACAGCTTCGTCAGGAGCTATCGATATCCTACCAGTTCACTAATCCAGAGGCCCGGCATGGCCAGGTGGTTAGGACGCTTGACTCGCAATCTGAGGGTCGCAGCTTCGAATCCCCGTCCCACCAAACATGCTCGCCCTTTCAGCCGTGGGGGCGTTATAATGTGACGATCAAACCCACTATTCGTTGGTAAAAGAGTAGCCCAAGAGTTGGCGGTGGGTAGTGATGACTAGCTGCCTTCCCTCTAGTCTTACACTGCTAAATTAGGGACGGCTAGCGCAGATAGCCCTCGTGTAGCTTTGTGCGAAATTCAAAACAAATAAACAAACACTAATCCAGTATTTAATTCTTTATCAATACTAAGTTCAGTTTATCAAATTGTATAGTTTTTCTTTAAAGCAAGGGTAGACAGTGGGTGGAGGAGCAGGGCACCAGTTTGTTCTTCTTGTAATAAGAAATTTATAGTTGGAGGAACTGTTGAGTTACATAACACAGATATGATAAGTCTCTTTGGCGGTCAAACAATTTCATATAAGACAAACGAGGCTGGTAATGATTCAGCATTCTCCCAAAGTTTCATAAGACACATAAAATCAACATCGTTTAACACCTAACAAGTTTCTCATGAGACCCATACCGAGCTAGATTTAGGTGTTTACTAATTTATATGAAACATATATTACCAGCATTTATTAGCACTCTGCCATTTTCTCATAAGACCTGTGGAATTAAACTGCGTTTAGTTTAATTTAATTGTTCTACGTACGTTCACAGAACGCATCTTACTATATTTCTCATGTTATCTAACTTTATATGTTATAGAAAACTGTAGGGACAAATTTGTTTAATATTTGAATTGGCACTCAGTTTTAGCTTTGTGTTGTTATTTACTTATGTTTTATAAAATCCGTGAGCCCAACTTTATATAATAATCTACCTAACTTCTAGACCACACGCTATAGGTCAAATATATCTTGTAGTCTACCTATCTTCCATGGAACAAACGGATCCAGTGTTATTCATGTGGAGCTGTGACCAACTTTGACTATTAGTCTTCTCACCTTCCATAACATATATGTGGACAGTATTGTTCACAGTTTACCTAGATTGTTTTGAAACATATGGCCAACTTTAATTACCAGTCTTCTTATCTTCCACAGGAAACATGGGATCCGTGTTGTTCATAGTTTCTCTACATTCTTCAGAATATGTAGCCAACTTTGTTTTCTAGTCTTATTACTTTCCAAGAGAGCCCGGCATGGCCAGGTGGTAGGGCACTCGACTCGCAATCTGCGGGTCGCGGGTTCGAATCCCCGTCACACCAAACATGCTCGCCCTTTCAGTCGTTGGGGCGTTATAATGTTGCGGTCAATCCCACTATTCGTTGGTAAAAGAGTAGCCCAAGAGTTGGCGGTGGGTGGTGATGACTAGCTGCCTTCCCTCTTACACTGCAAAGTTAGGGACGCGAGCGCAGATAGCCCTCGCGTAGCTTTGCGCGAAATCCATAACAAACAAACAAACTTTCCACGAGAAACATGGGTTCAGTTTTGTTTATAGCTTGCAAACATTCCTTACAACACACGTAGCTAACTTTGAACAACAATCTTATTACCTTCCATGAAATACAGGTGAATATCTTTATTCATAATTTACCAATATTCCTTACCTTCCATGGGACACATGGAGTCAGCCTTGTTCACCAGAAGAATGTCCACATAATTTAACTGTAGCCTTTCTAGTGAAGCATGAACCCCTGTGGTTAGATAACATAAAGATTTGTGACATTATACTTTGAAATAGTAAAGAATGAACTAAAGACATAGAATGAAAAGACCGTACAGAAGAGAAGAAAATATTTCATTTTTAAACATATTAGACTATGCAATCATACTATCATGAATATCAGGGTACAAACTTTATAAAAAAATGAGCAAATAAAATAAAATCAACAAACTGAAACATGTCTCTTTATATATAATTTTTCGTTATTATCTGAAGATAAGAATATTTACCATTTAAGGTTAAATAATGAGAGGAACATGCTCTAAATATCAAATGAGAACGATCGGATGTTTAAAATGTCCTAAGACTGTATTAATAAGTTCAAAATAACACACTTCACAATTTTATATAAAGCTTTTCTCGAGAGACTTAAAACTCTAGTTCTCAAGTACACCATCTGTTTATAAGATTATGTGTCAAAAGAAACTGTGTAAAGGAAAAATCTAAAACAAGCTGGATAGAGGAAGATATCGGTAACATCAGGTATTAAAAGTTAAGTGGAAAAAGGTACTAACCAGTCTGAGAGAAAAGTATCAAATAAGCTGGGTGGAAGAATGTACTAACCAAATCGGATGAAGAAAGTTATAAAAACGTTGAGTGAAGAATGGTATTAAAAGAAACTGAGCACAGAAAGATGTTGATCAACTCAACCAGGAAAAGGAAGGTAGTAAAACAACTATTGTTAAAGAAGGTACTAAAACTAGCTGAGTGGAGGAAGATATTGCATAGGTAAAGGAAGGTAGCAAAACAAGTATTGTTAAAGAAGGTACTAAAACTAGCTGAGTGAAGGAAGATATTATATTGGTAACGGAGGGTAGCAAAACAAGTATTGTTAAAGAAGGTACTAAAACTAGCTGAGTGGAGGAAGATATTATATTGGTAAAGGAAGGTGCTAGTTAAGTCAGGTTAAGGAAGGTATTAAAATCAGCTGAGTGAAGGAAGGTTTTGAATGAAGTCAGATGAAGAAAGTTATTTAAACATTAAGCTAAGTAGGAGAAAGTAATAACAATATCGAGTGAAAAAAGATATTAATAAATCTTATTAAAGGAAGAATAATATGTATTGATTGCACGGTTGAACAAAGGTGCCAAAACAAATTGGGTAAAGAAAGGTATTCAAACCAGCTAAAGAAAGGAAAGTCAAAGGTAAAGCAGATGGATAACGGTACAAGAAATAAGCTGAGGTAGATACTAACTAAACTAGTTAAAGTAAAATATTAAAATCAGCGAAGTGAAGAAAGTTATTAACATAAGTTTACTGGAAGAAAGTACTAACCAAATTAGGAAAATACTAACTAAGTCAGGTGAAGAGAGATATTAAAACGGAGTAGAGAGAGAAATACTAACTAAATAGGGGGAAAAGATATATTATAAAAGAGTACAGGGAAATACTATTAAAATAGAGTAGAGGTAAGTACTAACTAAGTCAGATGAAGAGGGATATTAAAACGGAGTTAAGGAAAATACTAACTAAGTCAGGTGAAGAGAGATATTAAAACAGAGTAAAGGGAAATACTAACTAAGTCAGGTGAAGAGAGATATTAAAACGGAGTAGAGAGAAATACTAACTAAATAGGGGGAAAAGATATATTATAAAAGAGTACAGGGAAATACTATTAAAATAGAGTAGAGGTACATAAGTACTAACTAAGTCAGATGAAGAGAGATATTAAAACGGAGTAAAGGAAAATACTAACTAAATAGGGAGAAGAGATATATCAAAAAGAGTGGAGGAAAATACTAACTAAGTCAGGTGAAGAGAGATACTAAAGACAACTGAGTGAAGAAAAAATACATCCAAGTCAAATGTGGGAATTTATTAAAACCAATTTGGTGAAAAACCTTACAAAATAAGCAGAATTACGAAATGTATTACAAGCGGTCTAGGAGAAAAAAAAAAAAAGCCAACCTGAACCGAGGAAAGTACTTATTCAAATATTTTTGAGGAAAAATAAATTCCGTAATTGATTTCTGTTATATGTAATTCGTAGATTCCACGCTAGCAAGAAAAATCGTGCAAAAGACTATTACAATGTCGATTTATAGTTTATTAAACTTTAAAAAACAGGTTAATATTTAACCTACATTTAAAGTTTATATATCTAAACAAAACATACTGTAGCAAGTATGTTTAAA